AGAAGAGAAAATTAAAGCTTTTAAAATAATAACATATTAAACTAAGCTAGCTAAGCCCCGATGTCACATCCTATCAGAGCATGCCCAACTGAAGCCTTAAGCCTCATCAACCACATCCTCATGATGTTGATCGCCTGCAACATAATTTAAACATATACAAAAACAACAAGGGAGTGAGAAACATCTCACTCAGTTTCAGGTGTAGAAATAAAGGCTAGATAGCACCCACACACACACACAACCAATATAAATCACTTATAAACAATACACATACATCATCAATATCACATATATATTCATTTATCATGCAATGATGTCATGAACTTGACTTATAAATGCATGCATGTGGCGCCATAAGGAAGTTTCACATATCATCACTGGTGACCCGAAGGTACACCTGGTTACATCATTGGTGACCCTAAGGTACACCTTGTTAGCAAGTTACATCGCTGGTGACCCCAAGGTACACCTCGTTAGCAAGTTACATCACTAGTATGCGGCCTCAGCGGCACACCTGGAATAATATATGCATATGATGCATGTCATACAGTCATTATTTGATTGACTTAACATTTAACTTATTTCATTTACTACCTTCTGTCATCATTTTCCTTGTTCTCATAGTCATAGCTTGTCTCAATAGTCCATTCTTAGGTCTCATGTCATTTGTCCATATTTCACATGGTCATGTCATAAATACTCCTCATAAGGTCCGCACAGGAATTCACAGAGATCCAGAGAGCATTCTTGTTCATATTAAAACTCATTTATTATTAACATTAATTTCATATTCATTTATTACTTTCAACAAAGAACAAAGTAGAGTAAATAGAAAATCAAACAGAACAATGACACTTTCAATAGAGTAAATAGAAAATCAAACAGAACAACAACACCTTCAACAAAGAACAAAGTAGAGTAAATAGAAAATCAAACAGAACAATGGCAAGGGATTGGGGGCCAATCCGACAAACAACTATCCAACAATTATCCCCACACCCCTGAGCGAGGTTCTCACTCCCCCCTTACCTGGATAAGCAGGAGTTGAAACTTGGGCAGGGCCTCCTCCTCTGGATTCCCTCTTTCTTTTCCTATCTTTCTTTCTTTCTTTCTCTCTCTCTCTCTCTCTCTTTCTCCCTCTCTCTTCTTTCTCTCTCTAAAATTTTTACCTCTCGGTCAGTTATAAATTTTTCACCTCCCTGCCCCTATTTATAGGCAACCTGGTGCACCCGGAACGACCCGTACTGATTTCAGAACGGCCCGTTCCGGATCCTTCAAACGTGGGAAAATTTTTCAACTGGAACGGCCCGTTCCAAAATCGGAACGACCCGTTCCCAAAAAGCAGAACGACCCGTTCTAAAATCAGAACGGACCGTTCTCATCTCAGCAGAACGACCCGTTCTGCTTCCAGAACGGCCCGTTCCAGGCCCGTTCTGGGTCTTTGAAAAACAACATATCCCCTCTTTTGGAACGGCCCGTTCCGCATTTGGAATGGCCCGTTCCGACACCCAGAAATACCCTTATAACTTTAATAAATTTACGAAAAATACCTTTAATAATATAATAATAATAATAAAATAAAAGTTGGGTGTTACAATATATCAAACTCATGCCGCAACCAATTAAGGCTTTAAAATGGGAGCAATGTGTTCAAACAAACCCACAACACTGAACTATAAAAGGATAAGTGGAAAACGGCCATGCATCTATAACTAGCAAATGAGATAAATGAGAAAAATCAAAGTGGAATATGAGAAAAAGAATTGTCATACAATTTTAATAAGAAAATGAAGACAAGAACATGGTTTATGTTCTGAGACTTGATAAAAACTGGTACCTTTAAACTACATGAAATATTAGTCAAGGCTTGTCAAACTAAAATTTAAGTAGAACACAAAACGTATGATAGTAACTTGTGCCAAAACAGAATTTAAAGACTACAAATCATTTCAAAGTAGAGTTTTCAAGTACATGGCACAAAATTCTAATTTGATGTTAAGTGCTCAATTTTGTTAAACTCATAAAACTTTTACTTGGCTTTTGCTTGGGCAAATTTACATACTTAATAATTGTGAGGACATATGTTTTGCTGACAACATATATGAGTATGATGTATAGTTATCCTTTTTTTTTATGTTCACCCAATTTTAGTATTACTCGTCTCTCTTAATTTTCTACACAGATTGAATGTGTTTCCTGTGGTCATACCTAGTGGCTGGTATGCCTCCCGGGATGAGGTGTCTATGCCAACCTTAGATGCATCGAATTCAAAGGGAAACACAGGTCCAGTGCCATATGCCACTGCAGAATTTAAAGATGTTCAGATGAAGCTGGTGACCCCCGTGAATCCGAAAACTCAGCCAATGGCATCTTTTGAATCCAGGAAACATGACGATATCTGTCCCGTGTAGTGTTTAGTCATAGCAAAAAATTGTTTAGTTATGCATAGAATAGATACAGTTCCAGTTCTCTTCTTGGTTGGTTCTGTGCATAGCATACATCAAGCAGTTGGTTTTGCGTAATACTTCACATAAACTCATGTTACATCATTAGGGTAGTGTTAGTCGTAGCAGTAAATTTCTGAGTTTAACTTTGATTATTTGTTTAAATCTATATCTGTACTTACTATATATGGAGAAAATATATATATATATATATATTAGAAGCCCCATTCGTCACAACTTGGACTACATGCTCCTCCCCAATTTCTTCAACAATGTTGTCTAACAATTCAAATATTTTTTTCCCATTCTTTATCACATCACTAATATCAATAGATTTCAAAAAAACAATCCCACTTGGACTGTTAACAAGAAAATTAGTGAGTGATCTTCCTTTCCCATCCGTCCAACCATCACACATCAAGGTGCATCCCCATTTCTCCTAATCACTTCTATATTTCTCTAAGCTTTTTTGGATGTTGTCAGCAGCTTTCTTCAAAAAAGAAACCCTCACCTCATGATAAGTTGGTGGCTTCAAACCTCTTCAATATTCTCCAACAACCTTCAACATTTGAATAAAAGGAGGACTCCTTACCAAATTAAATGGTAATGCATTACCATAAATGCATTTACAAATTTCTTTAATCACAAATTCCCTATCTTTAAAACTTCATTCATTTTCTTTTGTTTGAAAATTTTAGATGTTCCCTCTTTTCCTTTTACTGTCCCATTCTCTACATCCAAGCAATCCTCTTTCTTTTTATCTTTAGTTTCCAAGAGCTGGACAAATATTTCCTTCACATCATCACGAACACTTGTGCAAGCAATCACATTTTCCTTTGTTCCAACAAGATGATATTTCATCCTTGAAATACCACCCCAACAAACATGAAAACAAAACTTACATTTTACTTGAAGTCTGTTTGGAGGGATACTATCACAATAGTTCCAAGTGATATTGGGCTCTCTTTTTGAATGACCCATTTTTTAATGGCCTACCAAGTACCAATAAATAGAAACTTAGACAACAGCAAGAGAGGGAAGTGGTAGAGGGAATAACAAAGAAAAAAAGAGAGAACAAGTAAAGGAATGGACCACACAACAAGGGAAGCCCTTACCCTTGGACCACGATGAACAGCAACCCAAACAAAGCAGAGAACTTGAACGAAGCAAAATTATCGGCACTTTTTGTCTCACTTTCATTTTTTTTTTTAAAAAATCATTTTTTTAGGGTTTTCAGAACCGGGTCGTGCATGACCCGACCTGGTTTCAGACGTGACCCGTGACTTCTAGAATCGTGCAATTTCTTCTTAAATTGCAATTTTCCGATTCGCAACACGATGCAAACGATTCAAACATGATTCGTGATCAAAAACGATATGACCTGCGATTCGAATCGCGGAACCTAGGAATCGTATCGTATCGTACGATACGAATTGCGATACGTCCGATACTTACTACCATGGTGTATATTAGTTTGAATGTCTTTTAATCAAGAACAAATTTTAACTGCAAAGCATGTAATTATGTTGGAAGTGTGGTACAAGAGTTCCCCTCTGTACAACTACTACAAGAGTATTTTATATATATAGCTTATCCAATAAACAAAACTTGAAGCTAGACATACCTATCTATTATGAATTTATGATATATAAAAGTTGAGACATCATCTTTTGAAATGCCACCTAAATTTCTTGAACATATACCAATTATACATTCTTACTCTTTGGTTGAGTGCCTTTTTAGCTTTCTTTTAACGACTCTTCTTATATACATGACTGTAAATTATTAACTTTAATAACTCTTAACTTTATACATCATATCATTTTCAATAACCCTCAATTTTTTCATTATTATTATATTAGAAAACTATATTAAATTGTAAACATGTTGAATAAATAGTGTTTCAGGTTGCAAGATCAATTGTAGTTCATGCCGTTGTGGTTCTTGCAAAAGATTATTGAGTTCCTTATAAAGTCTTACATATGCGTCTCGTAACTTTTCATACATATGTTTTAAAGTTCTACAACAATGTTTTCGTTTATTTTTTCCATTAACTTTATGGTGTGTACATGTGTCAAATATGAACTAAACCTCAATACATAGCCCTTTTCTGAGTTTTTTTAAATTTGAATTGATTTTTTATTCTGTAGAGTGTAATAATGTTTGATTAAGCAGGTATACTTTTAGCTTGTTTGTTTATAATCTTAATGTTTCTCATTGTGGGAACCAGAATTGTACACACCTTGGCTTTATGCAAAATGAAGACATCAAAATAAGACACCCTAGGTGCTGGTCAAGCTCTAAGCCTAGCCACTTCTCAAAGCAGCTACCCAAAAAGACTCCTTGCTATCCCGAAACATCACACCTGATCTACTCCCCCACATAGTGAGATCATCACAGTCCACATTCTTTTATTCTATTTTTCTCTAATAACCATTCACCCTTCAATTAATCATTCACTATTATATGATTTTCATCACTTTTTTTATAATTATTTTTTATTTATAAAAAAGGGAGGCCCATGCCTTTTTTTCTTCAATTATTAATAAGTAAAATAAAAAGTAATAATAAAACTCATACCATTTTTATACATTCTTTGTTCTATTTGCATACCAAAGTAAAAAAATATTGCTAGTCAAAAGAAATTTAGTTGAGTAAAGCATTTATTGGATCTTGAAATATCAAGTTTTAATCAATCTAATCTTTAAATTGCAATAAATAAATGTTATTTTACACTCCTTGAATTATTAAATATGGGTTCCTTTAATTCTTAATGATAAAGAACTATTAGAGTTACTTTTAGCGATAAAACTCTCTACTCAAATCCATTGTCGATTTGTGAGCTCTTTACACCACACTACTTGCTCATATTATTTGCCAGTTGTATTTGGGTTGTCTTAATTTTGAGTAGTTGGACGTGTGCCGATCCGAACAAAAACAAATGAATGAAGAAGAAAAAATAAAGAAAGTTCATTGCTTTATTCAGGTTTCTTTGTAACACGAGAATGTGAATATTCTTTTCTATCGTGTCTGCAGTTTTAAGATACCTAATAATGTCTAGTTTCGACTGCGTTTGATTTTAACTGTTTATAATTTATATGTAGTGTACCGCTGAAATGCTTTTGATTAGCATTATTTGCTCATGTAAGTGTCTTTAGGTATTTTCAATTAGTAATCTTTTTCAAAATATTGCTTTAATTTAAGAACTAATTAATGATCATCTATTAATAATAGGGATTAAAATAAATATTGTTTAATAAATTTAAGGAATTTTTCTTTCAATTTTGGGGATTAAAAATTGATGGATTGTATTTTTAAAAACTTAGTTTATGTAATATTTGAGTTTAATATAAATTATAAAATAAGAATAATTTATTTACGATCAATGTGAGTCCTTTTTTAAAAAAGAAATCACTAAAAAATAATTATTATTTTACATCAAAATCATTTTTTAATATATAACAAACAAGCTTTATCTCTTGTAATGAGAAAAAAGCAAAATAGAAATGATTAAAGTATATTAAATAATAAGCTACTAAAAATCTTCCATTGTCATGCAAATAAATTCCACAAAATACTATATAGATGTCAATAATTATACTACTTAATTTTCAAGGAATAAAACTTTAACTAAATTTGGTGTCTTAATTACCGTAGAATCACTTTCTAGTTATATCAATTTGTAAACTTACAGGTTTATTTTACAACATATCAGTGACTCGAGCCTTCTTCATTTTGAACATTTATAATTGATCTTAGTGATAATCATTGTTACCATGAATAATATATATAAGGCTAAAATAAGATTTTAGTCCCTTATAATAATTATTTATTTCAATTTAGTCTCATTTTTATTTTTAGTCTCAATTTGGTCTCAAATAAACTAATTGGTTTCAATTTGGTCCCTAATAAATTAATTGTTTCAATTTGGGACTTCCGTCCAAATTTATTTAAATGGAGTTAACTGTTAATCATGTGGATGCTACGTAGATGCATAGGTGGATGCCACGTGGATGCCAATTTTTTTGAAAATACCTGGAACTAGAACGGCCCGTTCTGAAACCAAAACGGCCCGTTCTAGTTCCAAACTGCTAAACATAAACGATCAGTTAGGCTATACAGTGTATTATTAAGGGTAATGTAATGTATTACTAAAGAGGTAGCAGATTTTATTTCATTTCAAACTGGAGAGAACCACTTACTACCAAATTGACACTATACAGTAAAGGCTGACTTTCCTTCGGTCTTCGGGAGTCTTTGAGTCTTATTTCCGACCCGGACAATTTTAGGGGTCTACAAACATACTCACGCCCGGCGCACTAATATTCCGCCCAGCGCAAAACTCAAACAGAGACCTCGGTTTTTAAATTGCGCCCGGCGCTACTAGACTCGAGCCCGGCGTGATTTGGCAATGATGGTCTCTGATGAATTCAAGCCCGGCACGAAGAACTGCGCCCGGCGCAATCGCTACCAGAAACCCTCGAAAACCTAAAAAATTCCTTCCAATCATGAATCCAATCCAAATTACATGATTTTGAACCATTATAAAGCATAAACAACATCCAAAAACAACATTTTAAGCAATAAAATCAAGTATTAACCATTATACCATGGAAATCATGAAGACCCTAACCAAAACCCTTTCCCCTCAATTCAACCTCAATCATGCGTAAAACATGAAATCAATGTGATATTTCAAACCCATACATACCAGATTAAGTCTTATAAGTACTACCCTTACCTCAGAAACTTCAGAAATGCAAGATCTAGACCAAACCCTCAAATCTCAACTCAAGCTTCAATCTCACTTTTCAAGGCTTTAGAGGCCAAATCTCCTAAAACTCCAGTTGTGAAGATTGATCCTGGCTTGATAAGCTTCCCAAATGTGACCTCAGCTTCCCTCCGGACCAGAGCCCCTCTCTCTACTTTCTCTCTCTAGAATTGTCCCTGTCTGACAAATGAGACCCTCCGGTCCTAAGTCCCTATATATAGCCATTTTCCAAAATTTCCAAATTTCACCCTTAGCACCTATTCACCTCAAATATCCTATTTCTTGAAGTATTTCAACTCCCTAAGCTCTGAAACAACCTCAAATTCACTCAGAAAGACCAGATTTATCTTATGTTCCTATCCTTCGATCTC